CTATGCTAATCGGAGTATAACGTGTAATCACATGCTCTAGAAGCCCAAATTGATATAGCCGAGTGCGAATGGTAAGTGATCGACCCAGGAGCTCCTAACAAGAGTTCCGGTGCGCCGACCCATCACGGGCCAAAATTCGAGACACATTTTCAGAACCTAGCGTACCAATGGCCACTCGATTTCTAACGATTGAGCCTAAGCTCGAGTGCACAGAATCGCTCGTGAGGTACGGCGATCAGATCGGCCCAACCTCGAGAACGGCTCTATAGATGATCTGTGACCCTCCCTGGCGTGGAAGTGCAAAGGTGGGCGACTCGTGAGACCTAAAGATTTTTCACCACATGAAGACCGTGAAGAAGCCGCGCATGGAACACACCACAACCCCCCTCCCCATGTTTCTCGCCTTTTCCTTTTTGGTACTACTACAGCCTTCACGAAAGTGGGACGGAGAATGACTGATGGAAGCGACTCAATGCTAAAGTCACGGAATGATAGAAGCTCGCTTCGACAAGCTTGAGTTTGAAGTCCGGCTTTCAGATAATGACAAACGATTTCTGAGCTTTGGCCGAACGTACAATGTTGTATTCGAACTTTTAAATTTGTTCAGTACGGCCGGTCAACTTTTCGTACGTGTTCAATTAAGACCCTGGACTAGATAATCCAAGGATATAATAATACATAAATTAGATAGAACATTTATCAAAAGTTCAGGGACCATATTGGATAAATTAAAAGTTCAAGATTGCACATTGCGCTCAAGTTCAGGGATCATATTGAACGAATTAAAACTTCAAGGACCCACATTGCACATTTGACAAAAGTTCAGGGACCATTTAGGTAACTATCCCGATAATAAACTACATCAAATCAATTTATTCGGATCAAACCTTCTTCCTTTTCCCATAAAAAAAAATCCTAAACCTTTCCTCGTGATCCATAATACTCCGAATATTTTTTTCGTCTCGCAAATACCCTCTGCACCAGTGACAAGAAAAATTCCCTTTTATTAGGTTTCTCTTTACAAGGACCCTGAAAAGTCCGGCGCGACAATATTCACGAACAATGCCGGACAAACGGATCCGACGTGGCACTGGACGGACACCGTCACGTTCAGCCACGTCGGACTTTCGACGGCCACATGGACGGAAGGTATTCTAGGGTACCAGTGTCCCGCGGCGGAAAAAAAAAAGAAGAAGAAGAGAAAACTCATAATTTTTCACGAGATCAACCCCTTTTTTTTTTCGAAATTTTTTTCATTTGGACTCGAGCTCGACCCCGCCGACAGGTGGCGGCGGGCGCTAGGTCCGGCCGCAGTCATGCAGAGCGCGACGTAGTCACCTCCACCTCGTAGAGCCCCAAAAAAGAGGAAAAAAACTATTTCCGTGCATGAAGATCGTGAGCGACGCCCCCCTTCTCCTTCCTTTTTGACCTTTTTCCCAATATAATCAATTAATCAATTGCTCCTCCTCCTCCTCCTTCAAAATTCCTTTTCCTCCTTTTTCGAACTTTCCGCTGCATTTACTTAAAATTAATTTTAACTGGCTCCTTCATAAATAAATAAAAAAAACAAATAAAAAAATCGATTAATTATATTTAAAATTATCAGAAAAGCCTTTTTATATTCAAAGTCAGTCAGTCCCCCGCTTAAAAGCGAGCCGTGACGAAAAGGTGGCTCCGCCATTGGCCGAATCCGGTGCTTCGGACAGGCCAGAAACGACGACGGAACCCCCACGCCCCCTCCCCCCGCGGCCCCTCCCCCTTCGTCGGACTCGGATTTTTACGCGAATGCCCCTCAGGGGATGATTTCGTTTTTTGAAAACGCGGAGGCGTTTTTGGTTTTTCCCCTAAAGGAAGGAAGGGGGGAGGGGGCGAGGGGGGGACCCCTCGGGGCATTTAACTTTTTTTTTTTTTTTACCCCGCTTTAAAAGAACCGTATCTCTCCCAATTTTTTTAGCTTAAACCCGACCACATTTGTAAAAGAAAAAAGAGAGAGAGACAAAAGGTTTGCCCCCCACGGACGTTACTTTGTCATATATAGCCACTTTCACATTCATGTATGTTAAGTTATCCCCCACACAAAAAAAAAAAAAAAAGAGGAAGAAATTGCAAATGCTTCTTTACTTATTCAAAAAAAAAAAATTTGATTTTTTTTTTTTTTGGGGAGGGGGGGTGTTGGTGTTTCTAATTACTTACCATATGGCCTAACATACTCCCCACTCCCTTCTTGGTCGTACGAGAATCATTCATCAAAAGGGTTGATTTGTCCAATTGGAGATTTTAGGTGGGGAGCGGAGGGGGGCGAATTTGGCCTTTAAGGTCTCTCGTGTGGTTTGGCCAGCATATGGGGTGGGGCTACACCTGCTGTCCTCGCGTTTAATTTTACAAGATCCCCCAAGCATTTAATGTTCGCACACCCAAAAATAAAAAATAAAAAAAACTTGATTTTCCGATAGTACACATGAGTATTTACTCGTCCAAGATATGGCATCAAAATATAGGTGGCGCAAAACTAGTTTCGTGGACCACGCTCGCCCCCCCGAGCTCGTCCGACGAATTCGACCAGGTTTACGATTTTTCTCGTTCATGAATGTGGCTTACGAATGAAAGTCGAAGTCCCTCGGTGGTACGATGTAGAAACTATGTACTAGGGTTAGGTGGGAAATGTCATTTTTTTTGTGGGAAAAAGTCACGCTTCACGAAAAAGTTTGCAAGAAAATTTGAGAATTTTTTTTCTTTTAGTATTTGCAAGCATTTTCTTAGGAACTAAGCATATGTTGGGCAAAACTATATCCACTTTATAAAGGTTGCAGCACTTTGGAAAGAATTTGCATAAAAGAGAAACTATCGGAATTTCTCGGTAATGACCGGGCCAAACAACAGTAAAGGACGCGACGACACTTGATGAGTCGGATAGGATCGGATCGGATCACTCACATAGACATCGACTAGCCCCGCGCGCGAGGCCTCGGATCCGCGATCCCAATAGGTCGTCAGCAGCAGTCAAGAACTACCTAGATTGGCATGTCAAATCACTTTCTTTTTTTTTTTACATTTTGCATACCTTTTCTCGGAATTTTTTTTTTTTTGCCCTTGAGGGAAGGGGGCCAGAGCAGGTCTATTCTGGGTGTTTCCTCTTTTTTTTTTGTATGTCAAGAAATTTGGCAACAGCCAAGAAAGGTAATTTTCAGATTTTGCGAGTCATTTAACAGGTTGGTTGGTGTGGCCAGTCTGAAGATACCAAAGGTGTACCCCCCCATTCATACCCCCCTCTCTCTCTCTCTCTCTCTCTCTCTCTCCCTCCTCCCTTGTATTATTATATTTATAAAAGTTGAATTTCTTTTTATCCAAATATTATATATTTCTCTATCTATTCGGTCTATTCTCTCTCTCTCCTCTCTCTTCTCTCCTCTCTCTCCTCTCTCTCTCCTCTCTCTAGAGCTTGTTTACCGCGGCGAAGACTGACTGGGCTTTTTGCTTCCGGCATTGATTCGCTTCCTGAAGCGACCCACCAGGCGGCGGCCGTCCGAGGGGCCGCGACCAGATCGGTGAGCTGAGCTCGAAATTGAATCCCATTCTCCATCTCCTCCTAATTTCGCTTGAATTTGCTTCGGACATTGACCGGGCCACCGGCGAGCTGTTTCTCTTCTGCTGCTCTTCGTCTCCTTCATTTCTTCCCCTGCATCTCCGAAGATTCCGAGGAGATTTCCTTCCCCGTTTTTCGCTGTTTTCGTGGATATCGATTTCGCCGCATTTAGGAGCTGAATCAATTCGTTACCAATTCCTGCTGATTCAGGAGTTTTCCATCATTTTTTTTTTCCTTCAGATACTTGCTGGTTTTTTCTGCAATTTGTTTCCATTTCTGCTCGTGTTTTTTGACCGTGTTTTAAGGAGCTGGGGGCATCGCTAGCTGGATTTAGTTCTGTTGGGAAACATCTGGGTAAAAACCATTAATGTACAATTTGGGCTCAATCAGGTTGGGGAGGCATCTCCAACAGCAGACGATTTCACTGGGTGTGCACGGCACTCTCAGTGGAGGAGGTTGCGGTTCAGCGAGAATTCGATTGCGGGATTTCGGAAGCTCGGTGAATTTTGAGGAAATGTGGCAGGAAAAAAGATCGGGTTTTGGAGCGAAACACTAGGATTCTGGAGAATTTGCTGTCTTTTTTACTTCTTGTTCTTTCGGTAGCCGCATTTGGCTACCAGAAGAAAATAGAAGGCATTCGAGATTCCAGCCGACTGGAGAAGGAATTGTACAAGGGATTGAATAACGAGAAGGCCGCATGAATTCCGGGTGGAATTCGGGCGGTGGGTTCCCAATGCCGCAAGGAGGAGACTTCGAGATTGGCAATTGGGAAGTACACACCCCACAGAGACCAATCCCAGTAAGACCTCGTGCGACTCCAGTTGATCAAATCGAGAGCACACAGGGCAGAACGAATTGCCCTATATTTACTGGCCTGCCCAATGGCCATGGTTATATGCAGGAGATGCCTCACTGTAATGGTGGGTCGGTCCAAGATCTCAACTTTAGAGCACCAGCAGAGGAGATTCAGAGCTACCTCGGGTATGATGTGGATTTAGCCCGGACGAACCAGCTGATCAATCGGATTGCTGGACAATCGACGCCTATCTTCGATATGGATCGAACAGGTTGGACTAGTGGACCAATGATGGGTTTGCTGGGACTCGACGCTTCTGCTTTTGATGCATCAATTGAAGGAGCTTCGAGCAGTGGTGCCAACGGGGATCAGAGACCTTGGTCTTCCAATTTCCAGCCGATTTCCAGTAGCAGTGGAGATTTCACCACAAACTTGATCGGCAGCCAGATGAATGCTGCAAGCACAAGTGCATTCATAAGAGATTACACATCTACTCAGACAACCGAATGTAAGTATAAATATTTGTCTCGGGATTCTTTCTCAGTAGCGCGACTAAAGATTATCAATTGCCAGTGCCGAAGACTTTCCTCCCGGACTGAAAATATTAGACTTCGTAAGGTATTTCATCAGGATATGCTTCTGTAGAGAAACATATAAGTCACTCCATCGAGATAGTTACTGCAATGAACCAAATATTTGAAATACATCAAGAAATAAAGAATAGATCATTCTAATACAAGTCTTCATTTTAAAATTAGGTTAAGACACCATGAGAGATGACGGAAACAAATAGCTCTAGACCAAATATAAAGGCCGCTTGTCGGATTACGAAAAGAATCCTTACCTTCATAAATCAACTGAAACCGAGGAAACTTGCATCCTCTGGACTGAGTAGCATCCTCCCCACAGTAGAGGTTCTCCTGGCTATGCATCCTTTGGTGTCAACAGATACAACCGTCTTTTTTTCTGTTTTATGCTATTCTACCTCAGAATTCGCTAACAAGAATGCAGTGACACTGAAAATTTTGAAGTTGTGTATGCTATGTTGCTCCAGACAGTGCAATACCATAAAAAATTCGTTTAGCTGACTCAGTAGGACGAAGCTTGGTTGCTGCCTTATTTGTTCGTGCCTGGTATTTTATGAGCTTAAGAATATCATTCCGTCAAAGATTCTACTGTGCATCCGCTAACAGTGAAGATTGAACTATGTTTTCTACAGATGAATTCCCTTTGCCTTCGCGACCGACCTATGATCTAAACTCCACTCCACCAGAAGTCAGCTCCCCACCAAGGATGACCAACTTATTGTTTGCACCAGCAACACCATATGAGGACAGCCAGTTTTCTGCATTACTTGAATCCTCACCATATGAAAGCACAATCCAAGAGAAGGACAAGCAGGGAAAGCTGTTCTCATTGACAAGTGAAACAAACCATTCAGACGAACTCTTGGAGAATATTGTGGAATCTTTCAAGCAGAAGAAGGATGCCATCGTAGAAAGCAACCAAGGCATTGACCTTAATACAACACCCCAGCAGAAAGCACCCAAGCGAAAAAAGCACAGACCGAAGGTGATTGTAGAAGGTAAGCCAAAGAGCACTAGAAAACCTGAAGCTCAGGTAAAACAAAAGGGAAATGAGAATCCATCTGGAAAGCGGAAGTACGTACGCAAGAAAGGCCTGAAAGAATCAGCAAGTCAACAGGCAGATGCTGCACAGGAGACTGCAGTTGGCAATGACGGAACTGCTGTAAAATCCTGTAGGAGAGCTTTGAATTTTGACTTAGAAAAGAAAGCTGAGGCAAGCACAGTAGCTGGACCAGAGGAGTTGAGGAATATGGAGGGTTTTCGCTTGCCTGTAGATTCACAAGCCTCAGAACTCAGCAGGAGAGTAAACATTCTGTCTGGAATAACATCAGCTCAGCAGATAGGTCACCATGACAGATCAACCATGATGAATCAACTGGAAGCTGTGAGTTTGTTTGGAACAAATCAAAGGCGCGCTACTTTTTTTCCATTGCTACAAAGGCAGGCCGGTCAGTGCCTGCCAGCCAGAACAACAGACCAACTGGAACATAGAATAGCCACTCGAGAAAACATGGATAGGGCCATTGCAATTACTTGCCAGATGGGTTCGAAAGATGGACAGCTTCTCAAGCAGCAGCAATTTGTATTTGCAGAACCAAGAGAAGTGAACATTCCAGGACTTCGCAACCTTGAGCTGTCTAGGCAAGCAGTACCTCAATCAGCACCATTAATTTTTGCCAACTCCAGTGAGGCAAGGGGACTAAAGAGGGTTTATCATCAAAACAACGAGCAGACATATCTTCCTCGTGCAAATTCAATGCCCACATGGCTGCAACAAATGGTCCGGACTGGGGAATTCTGCAACAGTAATATTCTCAGTTCGCCTTACTCAGAGACCCAGAAGAGGAAGAAAGCAGAGAAAACACTTGATATTAACAGTCTCTCATCTTGTGCTCCAGCGATCTTAGATTCTTCAAGCCAAGTGCATGTAGGAGGTGTATGTGGTCAAGCCACATGCAGAAGACCGTTACAGATGAACAATGAGATGTTGAACCCCTGCATTGCTTCTGGAAGCATTTACCACAATGAAAAAGATGGGCTGCAGAAACGTACCATTGGATGGAATCTACCGTCTCTTGCTTTGGGTAATGTTTCAAGAGAGCATCAAATTTCTGCTGAACAGCATTCTCACAAACAGAGGGAGGAGGAAACCAGCAGATTGCAAGTGAAAGACATGCCAAAAACAGCTTGTCAGGAGTATCATCAAAGCCAAAAAGCTCCAGAACATACTGTTCAACCAGTAAAGAAAGGAAGGCCAAAAAAGCAGCAGGCAAATCATTTAACAAAGAAGACTGCAGCTCCCACCAAGCAGAGTCCTTCCGCGGAGAAGTTCCAAAAGGAGCAGAAGGATCCATGCCATGAAAATCAACAGACTGGTGCAATGACAAGAGGTATTTCCCGGATCCCAAACTGTAAGCGCTTGCAAAGCCAGTATATTTTGCTAGAGTCCATCACAATTATCAGTCTCTTCATGCTATTCAGGTTCCAGCTCATCGATGGAAAAAGACCCCAATGTTCTTGACGAGATCATATACAGATTGGAGGTGCTCAATCTCAATGGAGAAGGCAGCAAACTGAAGGAAGCAGAGCAAAATGCAATTGTGCCCTATACTGGAGCTGGCATGATTGTTCCCTATGAAGGCAGGAAACGCAAACCACGGCCGAAAGTAGACCTTGACCCAGAAACTAACAGGGTATGGAATCTTCTAATGGGTAAGGAAGGAAGTGGACTTGAAGAAAATCACAAGGACAAGGAAAAATGGTGGGAAGAAGAGAGGGAAGTGTTCCATGGACGAGCAAATTCATTCATCGCCAGAATGCATCTCGTTCAAGGTTAAGTGCTTTGCATAGTTCCTGTAGATTCTTGATCCATCGCGCAAATGTTAATAGGCACTTCTAGTTGCACCAGAGCAGAAAGGCCAATGCTGCTGCTGTAATCTTCTCGACAATCATCATGAGATGTCCCTATATCATCTGATCAATTTAGAGATAGAACAAAAAGTACTAAATAGCTTACATTTCACCCGGCAAAATCTTTTTAAAACAAAGAACATACAATCAGAAAACATCAATCATTTATAAGACCCTGAAGTATTGACCCTCTCAAAGTCAATATGCAAAGATCAAAATTACTATCTCAGTAAAAGTGCATGCATCATGGATCAGGCATTTATGTTCAGAATTAAAAAACAGACGAGTCCTGCAGAAATCAATTTTGCATTCGAGTTTCAGTTATATGCAAAGTCTCCATATTTCAAAAGTTCATTTCATTATAAGTTTCCCCTAAGTATTGCCCTTCAACTAAAATGAACAAAAGACCAATTGACAGCCCAAATAACTGCATCAAGAGCTACTGAGCATGCCTATATTACCTCTCGCAGGTGACAGACGCTTTTCTCGATGGAAAGGATCGGTTGTTGACTCGGTGATTGGAGTATTCCTGACTCAGAATGTCTCTGATCATCTTTCAAGGTAAGCAAAAGTTTTAGGACAATTCCGAACTATTGCCAACAGAACACATCCAGTAAAACTGACCATATCTCTGATTTTGTCGATAATGCAGTTCTGCCTTCATGTCACTGGCGGCAAAGTTTCCACTGAAGTCAACTTGCCCTGGAAGAGATTATAGCAAGGATAACACAAACATATTCTCCAAGGAACCAGAAATAATCCTGTTGAGCCCAACTGACACTATCAGTTTGCATGCAAAAAGGCACCCAATCTACAGCCAAAACTCAGTGACTGACCATGAATCAACAGTGTCTTGGCAAGCCGCAGAAATACCTGGGACAGAAACCATAAACTTGTTAGGGGGACAAACTCATAGCTCAGAGGAGGAAGTCCTCTCTTCCCAAGAATCTTTTGATTGCTCAATCAATGAAAGTATTGGAGGAATCAGATCCTATTCGGGCTCCAATTCTGAATCAGAAGATTTGGTCATTGGCCACAGACCTGAAGAAATTCGTCGTTCAATGTTCGAATCTTCTTTCCAGAAGGAAAAAGCCCTTTTCCAGGATCTATTCAACCATCAAAGCAGGAGCACAGTGGGATCTCGGGATCAACAATCAAAAGATAATGCAGACAACCACCAAAACTCAGCGTTCAACGCTACCAATAGCATTAATGGCTCTTCATCGTACACTCAGTTGATAAATTCGGATGTTCAGCCTGCGCACTTTCCACCAGTTGCTTTCATTCCGCAGCACGCACAAATTAATCCAGATTCCAGAATATCGAGAGCGGAGGATGACATGCTTGGTGATGAAAGCATATGTTCATGGCCAACAGCATCTAAATTCAGCACTGCAGTAGCAGCAAATCATATATCTAAACTGATGGAGCAACAGGAGGAAAGTCAACATATATACGCAGTCAACCACCAATCGTCACTACGCACTCGAGAAATATCGATGATGAGCTATCATGCATCTTTGGGCTCAAATTATGCATGCCCTCAGAGTCCCAACTCTGGCCCTGATCTCACAATTAGCCAACCTTCTTGCATCTCCCATCAACATGCAGATGAGAAGTTCTTTCACTTGGAGGGTAGTTTGGCTACAGAAGCGGATACTCTTGGAGAATCATTTTCTCGAAGACAGTGCAATAACGTGGAGAATGCTTCACAGAGTCCTCAGCAAGTTATCGATGTTAGGGACGGAATCTCGACAGTTGTTAATCAAAGCCACATGGAAAATAAAGCTGCCGAGCCACATATTGAGGAGCAGTTGTCTTCATCTGCTAAGTCACGCAAGGAGACAAATATTGAGCCAGGAAAAACCAAAAGAGGAAAGGCTAAGATTGGGAAGAGCAATGAGATTGATTGGGATATTTTAAGGAGAGAGGTGCAACCTAATGGAAGAAGAAAAGAAAGAAGCCAAGATGCAATGGACTCACTAGATTATGAAGCAATAAGGCAAGCCAGTGTTAGTGAGATATCAAATTGTATTAAAGAAAGAGGGATGAACAACATGCTAGCAGAAAGAATTAAGGTATTTCCATCAAGCTCTACAGCCACGTGTACTTTAAGAGCAGCATACATGATATCCTCTTTAAAAAACGAAAAGGCAAAAAAGAACAGAGAATGTAAAGGGGAATGGTATTTGACAATGGCACATTCTGCAGGGATTCCTCGACCGGTTGGTCCAAAAACATGGAAGCATTGACCTTGAGTGGTTGAGAGATGTCCCACCCGACAAAGCAAAGTAAGCAATTTAATATATTGCTAATGTAACACCATGAGCATCGTAATCAGATCTCACATTTAGCATCATCCAACACATCCATACCCAACGCACATACATATTGACATCTAGCTGCAATATCACATAGCATATGTGCACTGCAGACCAAAAAGGTTTAACACAAATATGCAGCATAAAATTTGCCATAAACATTATCTGACACCTACATGTGGCAAATTGCAGGGACTACCTACTGAGCATACGAGGGCTAGGACTGAAAAGTGTAGAATGTGTGAGGCTTTTAACGCTTCATCATCTTGCCTTTCCAGTAAGAGTTACTACATGAAAATACTAGCTATATAACCTTTCTGAAGAGATGAAAATTAAGAAATTAAGGATGACTTTTGGCTTTGTTTATCATCTTCCACAGGTGGACACCAATGTAGGACGTATAGCAGTTCGACTTGGATGGGTACCTCTCCAACCACTGCCAGAGTCACTGCAATTGCACCTCTTAGAACTGTAAATTCTTTGGCCTACTATCATAAGCAAAGCCTCAGACTATTCATATTTTAACAACAATAATTAAATCCTCAGGTACCCAGTGCTGGAGTCAATTCAGAAATATCTGTGGCCAAGATTGTGCAAGCTTGATCAACGAACACTGTACCGGACCTTCTACCTTTAATTTCTTAAAGTTCTTAGCATGTTCTCCTCAGATAAATTAGTGTATCATGTTACCTCCAATTTCTAAAAATGTCGATATATGTGTTGTTACAGCTATGAACTACATTACCAGCTAATCACATTTGGAAAGGTACTTCAGATAAACTCTCTGTATTGCCATTAGATTAATCACATGAATTTTGATGTTTCTCATATTTGATTGTCATGCAGGTTTTCTGTACCAAGAGTAAACCAAATTGTAATGCCTGCCCAATGAGAGGAGAATGTAGGCATTTCGCTAGTGCTTTTGCAAGGTTTGCCACTTATTATCTCTTGCATGCTACATTTATGGTACCATTAAGCCAGAAAATAAGCCTAACGAGCTTCTTATTAAATTCATTAAGGTAGAGAAAATCCTCAAAAGATACTAGATACAGCGCCTAAATATTAAAGAATCTATGACATCTATTATCAAGCCTTGCAGTCCAACAAGTTTGACAGCAGTCTGACACAACTCAACCATCCCTAGTTGCTAGATGCAACTATTTAAGGGGAAAAGACACACAGCGTGAGAATGAGAGTGAGAGTAAGAGTGATCACAGCAAATATTTGAAAAAAGATTAAGCTCATATTTCACTGTTTTGAAAGGATGTCATAATAAAACTAAAGCCACACCTGTCTTTTGCAGCGCGAGACTTGCCCTTCCAGGACCAGAGGAGAAGAATCTTGTTTCTTCGACAGTTCCTTTGGCTGAGAGCAAGCCCGCAACAGTCATCAATCTCATGTCGCTACCTCCACCCTACTCACATGAAGAATTGTTTCAAGTTCGTAACTGTGAACCCATCATTGAAGAGCCAGCCACTCCAGATGAAGAGCGTGCAGTAGCGTTGGAAAGCGACATTGAGGATGTATTGAAGGATGGTGATGAAGAAATCCCCACCATCAGATTGAATATCCAAGAGTTCACCGAAAACCTTCAGCAATTTATGCAAGCGAACAACATGGAACTCCAGGAAGCTGACATGTCCAAGGCCTTAGTTGCTCTGAATCCAGAAGCTGCTTCTATTCCAGCTCGAAAACTCAAGAACGTGAGCAGACTACGGACAGAGCACCAAGTGTAAGTCGAATTCTTCTCAAAGCACTATTAAAAAGCATGGGACAAAAGCTTCTTTATTATAGTAAAGATTCTTATAATCATACTTAATCATGATGCATAAGATATATATTGTGACCAAGTGGGAAATAACTGCTACTAGAAGATTGGAACATTAGGACTTATAACTGCCAGCATTTGAATAATGACTCTTATCCAAAATTCTCAAAACTTGTCTTTTTTACACACGTTTATCTTCTCTCCTATTTGCTGGGTCTTTTCCCCATAAACCTCTAAGGTTCACTGCCTTTATATCTTGCAGATACGAACTTCCTGATGATCATCCTCTCCTAGAAGGGGTTTGTTTCCTGTTTTTTGAGAAAACTTCTTTCTGACTTTATATAGACTACAGATATATGCATACAAAGCATCACTTCTGACTAGAAACTCTATATATCGACAGCTGGAAAAGAGAGAGCTGGATGACCCAAGCCCTTACCTACTTGCTATATGGACACCAGGTAAGTGTACAGCTTTAAGTAAAAAAATGAGCTATCTGCGTGTGACTGCCTATTACCATAGAAATGATGCCACAAAATAGACTAAATGCAAGTCATTCTTCCTGAGAAGTTGATCGTTCTATTTCAAATTTGACAATTCCGAGATAACACACACCAGGTGAAACTGCCAACTCAGTCCAACAATCTCAAGAAGGTTGTGAAATCCAAAAGACAGGAAAGTTGTGTGAGGAGACGACATGCTTTTCATGCAATAGCATTCGAGAAGCTAATTCACAAACTGTCAGAGGGACACTTCTGGTTAGATAATACATTCCTTCCAACCTTCAGCATGAGATAATACATTTTTCCAACTTATTAGCTTTTCCTATAAGCAAGATGCAATGTGTAGAAATGGTGATTTGCTGACATTCAAGCAACGCATTTATAGATACCTTGCAGAACAGCAATGAGAGGAAGCTTCCCATTGAATGGAACATACTTCCAAGTAAATGAGGTAAATAGGCTACGTATCTTGTACTTATTCAAGACAAATAAATGAAAAAGCAACTAGTTTTCAAAATTATATCATAGATTTCGATACTCTCAGCAGTAATAACATTGATACCTTCATCATGCAGATGTTTGCAGATCATGAATCAAGCATCAATCCAATATGTGTTCCAAGAGATTCTATATGGAGTTTGAGAAGACGAACCGTATACTTTGGAACTTCTGTTACAACAATATTCAAAGGTAAACAAAGATACAAAAACCCATTTTTTGCACTTTCAACAGCAACATGAAAGAATGTTTCTTACCAAGAAATTATGTCTTCTAGGCCTGTCAACTGAGGAAATTCAATTTTGCTTCTGGAGAGGTAAGTCATGTTTCCATCAATATCATCATCATCAATTTCCTGTTAACCTGCAAATGTAAAATTCTGTTTTAAAACAAACGCTCTGTTAGAATAAGAAGATACTATAGGAGACATCATCTAAAAATAATGAGGATTCCCTTTGACATTGCAACAAACCGGTTCTACCCCGTACTTGTCTATATCTGGGGAGAAGACAGCGGTTCAAAAGGAGAAACCCATACTTCAGATATAATATTACAAAAGTGACAGAA